GTGAATTTCTCTTTCTCACATTTCCAAGTGCCAGTCAACTTCCTGACCCAAGTTCTTTGCCTTTAAGTCAGTCAAATATTTAGTAAAGGAATTTTGTAAGGGATTCTGCTGATTTGGAAAGATATATCAACATAGCAAGTGTTAACTCTAAACCCACCTTGATTTCCCTGGTTTCATGACTTACAAAATCTTTTACAGACATCATCTGAAATAATAATAATAGTCCTTGAGAGGAAGCACTTAAGCTTATCATGTATGTTTTATGGTGAAAAGGTAAAATGACTAGCCATAAAATTAGGGCTAATATTTTGGCACCCATGATCATGTATGGTCTCTATTATCTCAAGTCTTGGTGAAAGTATTAAATGGAAACCAAGCTTCTCTTAAAAATTCAAGATGGATTGCCCAGATTTGTGCTTTTTATTTTGTTTTGTTTTCAGAAATAGTTCTTTGTTTCCCTTCATTATAGGTGGTCGTTTTCCCATGTTGGAATTCTATTTTCCAGATTTGTGGCTTCTGAAAGTGCTCTGAAAATACTGAAATTTGATTTGCCTCTGAAATATTTTTTCTCTGAGACTGTACTAGGGAGATATGACTAAAGCCCAGTGGCTACCATTTCCATTTGAGCAAGAAGGCAGAAGAATATTGAAACATATTCTCCATTCTTATTGAAGTATTTTGAAAGATCAGTGAAGTGGGAATAAAAGGCAAATTATATTAAACCACTAACACAGTTGAAAAATAGAATTAAATACATTATCAGCAAGACTAGATTCTAGGTCCTCCTAGATTCTGACTTACTCCATATACTTCTCTTTCTTTTTAAGTAAGCTTCATACTCAAGTGTGGAGCCCAATGTTGGGCTAGAACTCACAACACTGAGATCTCAAGACCTGAGCTGAGATCAGGAGTCGGACACTTGGCCCACTGAACCAGGTGCTCCACTTTATATTTTTTATTTCTGTTAGCCCCAGATCTTTCACTTTATTATAAAGTACTAGTAACATCGTTTCCACTTACAAAGTGCTTGGCAAGTTAAAGATATTGACTCTTGGAATCAGGAAGGAGAAGACCAGGAAATCCTCCTGTCTCATGATTGAAGTTTGCTTATAATTTGGATTAAAGGAAAGTCACTGGTTACATTAAGTGTACTACCACTTTTTTTTTGTATATTTTTTAATTGGAGTTCAATTCACCACCACCTTTAATACTGTCCTTACTTACAGAGAGAAAACGACTGGAAGCCAAGCAACGCGAAGATATCTGGGAAGGCAGAGATCAGTCGGCGGTTTGAATATCACTCAACAAAAGGGATAGTTCTATGAATTCAGAAAATATTTCCATAGTCTTCAGTTGGAGGATCCTTCTAGAGTTCTGTGTACATGCAGAAGTGCATGTTAAAGAAAGAGAGAAAACCATCAAGATGAGCACCGACTGGGTATAGAAAGGTGGACTCCTGTCTATCTTCTCTTCTAACTGCAGTTCTTTGGAACTGCCTTACTGTGTTGGGCATAGAAGGGAGCCATCAGCTAGGAAGCTGACTTGTGACAGCTTGGATATGACTTCCAGGAGTCCTCTGAGTGTGGCAAGTCCCATTGTTAGCATGGCTCACACGTCTAAGATGTCTGAAGAAGTTAGAAAACAGAGGATTCAAACCTGCGATGTTGGGAGATTTAAGCCCCGCAAAGTTGGGGTGTTCCTTCCGGCCTCACAAAACTGAGGGGGGGATGGAGGAAGCAGTTAGTGCAGAGAGATGCAACAGTGTCTGAAGTACTTGGTCCTCACAGAATCTACACTGTCACATCCTGAACTCCAGGGCTGGAGAGCTGTAGCAGATGTAGGTGTTTGGACTCCAGAGTTTTTACTGAGCCGAGAGCCTGGGGTTGCTCCAGCTGCACAGCAGCCAGGGGCCTGCCAGCCTCATTCCTCATGGAAAGCCAGCCTTGGGAGCTGGTTCCAGTTGAAACAGTACTGTCATGTGAGAGGGAGACATTAAAGCTCATTTTATGGCACGTACCACTCTGCTATTTATCAGTTTTGTCATTCCCACAAAAAAAATTGGAGAACAGCTCTCCTCATGTCTTCTTCCCTGTAGTGCTATGTGTGGGCTCAGTGGGTTTGTTGGCTTTATTGAGCCCCACTGGGTAGAGTGCTAGTCATTTCTCTGCCCCAGAATATCCGACAAAAATGTATCCCTTGGGATTGGTATGTGTAGCTCCCTCCCCTTCTTGCCTTGCCTGTATACCCCAACCCCAGTTTCTTGCCTTCTCCCATATCTGTCAAACCTGACATTCTGCAGAAGGCATCCGGCACTCAGCATGTTCTTGGTATCGTCTTCCTAGCCCATGCCAGAGGCGCTTGGCAAGCAACACCAAACCATCCATTACAGTGAAGAGTTGCCAGAATAAAACAAACATCTCTGGGCAGTGAGAAATTTCCTAAAGGACACTGGCAACTCTGAGCCATCCAACCATCTCATACTTGCATTCTCATTGTCTTTGGAAAAAAGTTTTACACTGTAGAAATGGTAGTGCTAGACCTTAAGAGGCTGCGGTAGCAAAATAATAGTGTCCCATTGTGCTTTCACTGAGGGCAATAGCCTCATATTTGTATGATTTAGTGCCCATGACAGAGATGGAATATTAGCACTGCCTAGAACACGGTGAAGTGGGGACTCTGTTCCAATGTTCCTCAGATGACACTGGCCTTGGGTCTTGGTGCGATCCAACTGTCCCTACTGCTCTTCTGATCTTGGAGCTTTCTTGTAGTTCCTCAGCATTGTTTTTCTCATTCTTGGTCAATTCTGGAACTGCACCTTGTTCCTATCTAGTCCTTCCTTTTCAAGTTTGGAGGATTAAATAAATCCTTCTCTTGACCCTCTTAGTACTACCCAGACCAGTGCATATCACTTTGGCTTGTAGCTGCAGGACTTGTGCTCTTCACAGAGCAGAACTCTAAGATAGGCAGATCTGTTTGAATAATATGGCTGCAATGGAAAGGAGAGGTAGGGAGTTGTAGCCAGGCTTCAAACTGAATGGTCTATTTCAGAGGGATACCTTTGCTCTGTTTTGATTTTTCAAGGCTAGGAGTGACCTTGGGCAATAAAAAAGATAACTCTTCCTATCACTTATCCTTGAGATGCTTCCCCTTTCTGATACCATTGTGGCTTTTCAGGGCATTGTTTTTTTTGTTTTGTTTTTTAAAGATTTTATTTATTCATGAGAGACACACAGAGAGAGAGAGAGAGAGGGGCAGAGACACAGGCAGAGGGAGAAGCAGGCTCGCATACAGGGACCTGACGTGGGACTCAATCCCGGGTCTCCAGGATCAGGCCCTGGGCTGAAGGCAGCCCTAAACCTTTGAGCCACCTGGGCTGCCCCCAGGGCATTGTTAATAGAGCCACGTTTATTACCCAGTTTTCTTGTATTACTCTTAACTTCAATAAGGTACTATTCTTACTCTAGTGCAGTATGTATTAGGTGGCTAATAGCATATGCTTTTTTTCAGCTAATGGTCAACTACTTCTAACTTTCAGATTTATTCTTACAATTGGACCCAGAAAAGGGATTTATATTTAGCTAATATTGAAAGCTGTGGAGTCTTGCTGCTTCCACCATTAGTAGAAAATGTGCTTTTTAGTTCTACTTTTCCAGTTGTTAGAAATCATGTATACTAGGTGGAGGTTAAGAGGACCTGCCATGGCCCACCATGGATAACATTGAGCTTGTCCTCGTAGGAACCCAGTCCTTGGCCACATCTAAACCATATCTTCACAAGCTGAGCTAACTGGAGAACATCCTGGAGCTGCCACTAGCTCCTTTATTAGATATTCCAGAAGACTGTGAATGCACTCTGCTAGGTGTTTTTGTTGGTTCGTATATGTTAACATGACTAAATCCCAGCGGCAACTGGAATTTGTAGTAGAAAGGTACATTTCCCTTGAGCTCTAATATGCTCCCTATAGAGTGAAGGTCTTGGTGGAATAGAAATAAATTAGGCTTCTAATTAGTAAGCTGAGGTTCCCAGCACTTCAGCTTCTGTGAGGCTAAAGAATGCTGAAGTGAAGATCTGACATTTTTGGTTCTGTCTGGAATTTGGTGGTTGGTGTTCTGTTAACATTCCTCATACAGTCACAAGTCATGCCAGCTACCAATCTTCCCATGTCCTTCCCTTTCAACTCCATGGTGTAACAGCACAGCCCTTGTACAGCTTTTTCCAAGAGTTGGAACCAGCCGCACCTATCAAATGTGTGATGTGGGCAGCAAGCCTGAGACCAGAGCCGGAGGCCGGCTGCCTGGCCAGCTTTTTCTGGCCCCCTGGGAACTGGGATCCAAGAAGAAGCAGTGGGTGACCTCCCTGCCTGAATGTAGTCACCCGTTGCCACACACTTCCCCGCGGGCTGCACGTTCTTTCACAGACCATTAGCTGCATGTGCTAGGATAATGTTGTCACTGTTCAGGCGATGTTTGCCGGCACCAACAGGAAATTAGTCCTTCCCTTGTTTACCTAAATGGCCATGCCAAGATCGAATGCTGTCCTTTGCCTAATGAAGGAGATGAAGGAGCAGAGAAGAGAGAAGGCAGAAGGGAAGAAGGAAGAAAGCACTTCTTTGTCTTCATGGAGGGTAGCTCAAGATCGTGTCCCTTTGTACTCCCTGAGGAGGGGGTGGCTCTCATGATGTGGAGAGGGCAGTGAGTGCTACTGTAAATCTGCCCCATCTGCTACCATTCATTTTGGTTTTGCAGCCCCAGTTATAAAAGTTTACATTCCTTAGACTTTTCCTTCTTGCTGCCTCCCTTTCATCCCTTAACCTTTCCAACCCGTGTTTCAGCCCTGAGCCTGGGGAGGAAATGGGGAAAGCAGACCATAGGCATTATAATATCAAGAGAAAATGTAGTGGGACTGTTGTGAGTAGTATATGTACTGCACATATCCTAGTCACCAGCTCAGGAGGAGTGGAAAAGGTTAGACTTTGTGTGCTGGGAACAAAGAATCACAGCCAGTCTTGCCTTTGTAGCTGTCCATAGTGAGCAACCTTTATTGGCATTAGGGTGTCAGACCTTTAAGAATCATCTCTTATATGTGTCTAATTTAGTCCATGCAAAGTTCACTCCAGAAACTTGGTTGAGACTTGAAATTTAGGCCAGTCCTGAGATGCACAGTAATCTTGAGGGAGACTCGATTGCCTGCCAGGTGAATGGCATATATTTTTTCCCTTGGAAGAAGCCCTGGCAGGGGCTGGGGTCCATACTACTGTAGTAGTCTCTGCTTGGCCTTCTCTTGCTGCTCTGTAGGAAAGCCCTATCTGGCCACCTCTGCAAATCCTGCCTCTTCTCAAGCACCCAGTAACTGGTGGTGGTGGCCCATTGGGAGAAAAGGGGATGCCTGAGGCCTACACTTCCAGGATATTAGAAACATCCATATGTGCAGTAGGATAAAGGTAAAGGCACTAGAGCAGACTCCTAGAATGAGTGAGTTCTAAATGAACACAGACCAAATGAAGGACTGGATTCATCAATATCTCTGCCAGTTGTGACTTTGAGCTTCTAGCAGAGTTAATCCCACCTCCTGTATATTTTTGTTCTTTTGTCCTCTACTCCTCCAAGACATTTGCAAAGCACCATTTAAATGGGGGGCTAGGCAACAGTCCCATCTCTTAGGAACTGATCATTCCTGAACCAGGAACGTCAGGGCAAAATCCAGGAAGGATTGGGTCTCCTTGTGGAAGAGGAACTCAGCTGAACAAAGCCTGGAGGCCACAGACCATAGACCACAGACCAAAGGCCCTTAAAAGATAGGCCCAGAGTCCTGAGGGAGCAGTACCATTTTGGTTTGGTGATCTTGCCATCAGTAGGCTTCCTGAGCAGTTCTTGTTGCCCCTTAGCACTGGCCCCTCTCCCTCTGAGTTAGGGCTCTCTGAAGGGCATGGCTCCAATAAGCTGAGGTATCTGGTGTGTGGGCAGCAGCTGGAAGTTTGCAGTCGTGGCTTCAGATGAGATTGTTCCTGAGACGCTGCTCCTGCTCCAGGGAGAGCTCTTCATTAGCTCGGTAGGAATCCCCTGTGGACCAAAGGAGAATGGATAAGTAGCCAACCCTGCCATGCTCTCATCCCCTCCCTGACAGCTGCACGCACACACACACATACATTCTGCACCACTCACCCTTCATATTAGGTCTATCATGGGCACGAATACCAATCCATTCTGTAGAAGTGACCCTAATATGTAGTTGTAGTTTCAAGGACATCAGGAAGAAGAGGCATTGAGTGGAAAGGGTCCTGCTGGTTATTCTTTGCCCCCCACCCCATCCGATTTCATTCTCTACCCTTCTTTATTTTTTCTGTGCCCTAGAGAACTGATCCCTAGAAACGGCCTCACCCTGACTTCCTCATCCTCTGGTTTCTGATTGATTTAGGTCAGTGGGAAGCAATGGAAGGAGGGAGAGGTTGGGGTATTTCTCCCCTGGTCCTGTGGTGGTAGTCTCTCCTATGCCTTGCTCCGGGCAGGTTCTCTCTCCAAAGTAGAGCTTCTACTTGCTTCCAGGACACCCTGTGCCCCTTCATGCCGAAAGGCATTTACAGTTTCCCACTCCTGCTTATCCCCAGATGCCTCAACAACCCCTCATTTCCTTAGTCCTATTCACACCTCTATAAATAGTCCTTTGATTAACTATTCTCACCTGGTACACCCTCTGTTTTCTACAAGGGCCCCTGCAGTGGTCTGAGGTGCACTGTTTTTCTTTCCTCTCTTACTGCCCTGGATCCCTTGCAGCCTGCCACTGGCATTATGGCGGCTCTCTCTATTGTGCAGCGTTAGGTTCCAATTCCTGATATCCCTGATGTTTCTGTCTCATTTAATGGCAGCAAAATATACTCAAACAATTTCAAATCCTTGGACTAATTCCTTTTTGTTGTCTTTCACCAATTGCTAGAGTTACCTTTTGAAAACATCAATCTGATCTTTGTGCCCCCTCTTGACTGAAATTGGTCAGTGGTTCCCAGAAAGCCCACAGGATAGTCAGTCATTCCTTTATCAAGAACCATCATAACCCTCCCTGCAAAACACTTTACTGAGTTTGAAGTATATAGCCCCCCATTTTAAAAAAGACTTCTTTGAGGTTGAGATTTTCCTCATTCTTTTAGCTAGAAAGTGGTGGACTTGGATTTGGAACCCAGTGAAGCCTGAGGCCAAATCCTATGCTCTTTCTCCTTCCTTTCTTTCCTGACTTCTGCCTCTCCTTTGAAACCCCGCTCAAATGTTTCCTCTGGGAAACCTTGCTATCCCTAGGTTGTTGCTTTCTATGCTTGCTCAGCATTAGTTCATATTGGTCTGGAGTACTCAGTAGTATTGGGGTTATCCATTTGCATGTTTGCTTATCCAATTTGAGTTCCGCACTTTACTCCTATTTATTTTCCTAGTGCCTGGTACAGTATTCAGCACAAAAGTAGGTTTTAAATGTTTGTTCACTGAATAAACCAGTCCTGCTGCACTCTACCCCATATGTGCAAAGTGTGGGTGTGAAGGCACACACCCCATAGCAAGTACAAGCATTCCATAACTTGAAGATAGAGGGATTTGCTACCTTTCTTTACAGACAAATAGAGCAACCACCTCCATACTCTGCCCCCCACTGAATCATTGCTTCTGCCATGTTCCAATACAACCAATCCTGTAAATGTCCTGAGCCCTGTTCTCTGCTGCTGCCACCTTGTACACAGACATCACAGCTGGAGATAGCAACACACAGCTGGCAGACTTCTACTTTTGCCTGTAGGCAGTCAACTTTGGACTGGCATGACTAGAAAGACCATATGAAAGGGTGGGGGGCAAACAACAGGACTGGGAAAGAGAAATCTGAACTTGGCTTGAAGTGACTAGAAAAGACTAGGATAGATGAGAGACTGAGTTTACAATCCAAACAGCCTTAAGGACAAAGAGATGTAGAAGTAAGTGGTTACTGGGTGAGACTGCTCGTGTGACCAGTTGGGTTAGAAATTTGCCTATGAAGATGTACAGAGGGAATGCATCTCTGTCCTATCCCTGGCCTTCCACGTCCACATTCCAGCCATACTTGGGGGTGAATGTAGCGTTTTCTGGCTTGCCAAGCCCATACAGAGCTGGCCGCACAAGGGCTTGCAGTTACCTGTGTGGCAGTTGTGCAGCCAGACCCGGTGCCCGTCATACTTGCAGCGGCACCGCATCATGTTGTTAGAGAAATCGGACTCCGCCACCTCATATTTGGGGTTCACAACCACCTGGAGTGAGACAAGGGGACAAGTGAAAGCAGGTGGTGTGGCTTTTCCATTGATAATGGAAATCATCCTCTACGTTTCATGTAGTCTCACAAAGAGTGTTTATATTCTTCGCTTCGTTAAACCTTTTAATCACCCAGAGGGTAGGCATTAATTAACACTGTCCATTGAATCAAGAGTCAGACCTAGATCCTCTGGGTCTTCATTCAGTGTTCAAGTGCCACATCTGTTGGAGACCTTATTTGTGAAACTTCATTTGACCTCAGGGAGACTTGGAATATCTGCAGGAAATGGAGTTCCTGTGGGGGATCCCCAAGCCCCCTTACCTGGAAAATATAATTCCCAGGGCCCACATCTGTGATATCCACCCACTGGCAATCAATGTCATGCCGATAGGTATCCCAGCAGCCAACAGTCACTCCTTGTTCCCCAAAGTTGGCACATGCATAGCGCTTCTGCAGTCCTGTAAGGAAGAGCACTGATGGTTACCAAAGGAGTGAATGGATGCTCAGGACCAAGCACTTCATGAAGCCCTTCACACTGAATCTTTACATGGGTCATACCCTTGAGTGCAATCAGGTGAGGGACCTGCGGGTCCTTTATAGATAGCTTGCCTGAGAATCAGCTGGAATTCCTACTAACCATGAATCCAGCACTGTAGCAAACCCCAACTGTGTCAGAGACGACTTCTTGAACGCTCCAGTGGCAATTTCTATTGGCTTCTACTGGCCTAGGAAGTATGGGTGGAAGGTTCCAGTCCTACATGCTAATAATTTGTCCATCTTTCCAACCCTTTGAGGAGCGAGCGTTTGCCATGCCATTCTTAAGGACTAGGAACTGTGAGTATGCTAGTAGGAATCAGACGATCTGCGCCCTCAGAGAACTTAGCCAAAATGAAATAGGCCTGCAGCTATTATCCCAAATAGAAAGTACGAAGCATTTAGAAGTGGTACGAAGTGTGCTAAGGTAGGCAGAGGCAGGGAGGCCCTCCACCTAAGATGTCAGAATGTAATAAACACCTTTCTGAATTGCCTCAAGCATGGACTTGACAAGACAGAATTTGCAGGTGCCTGAGGCGGTTCTACCTGAGGGCAGAAGGGAAGCTCACCCTGCAGGGGCTGAGGAGGCTTTGCTGGCCCGTAACCATATACCTGCGGGGCAGTTTGTGTCCTCCAGGCAGAAGCTGGCCTTGTGCCCCTCTGCCACCTTGGAGCCATTGAGAGTGAGTAGGTCATAGTGGGTGAAGACCTCGATGCTGTGGTAGTGCCTGCAGGAGGGGAAGAGCTGTCAGCCTGGCAGCAACAGCAGAGGGTCCACTCTGGAGGTGTCGGCAGGGCAGATGGAGGCCGTCACGCTAGGCCCCATCATTACCCAGGCAGGGCAGTGCCTTCTCTCTCTCCAACCCAGGATTCATGTGACCCAGTCTACTTTCCTGGCAGCCCCACCGGGCGGCAAGGTGCAGCTGCCCCCACCACCTAGGGCAATAACCCAGGTGAGGAGGGAAAAGCACTGCCCTGGCAGTCTGCAGGGGGTGGGTGCCTGGCCGCCAGGTCTGATTGGAGGCAGAAGGAAGGGACACCTCTGGGAACCAGCCTCAGGGCTGAGCTGCTGAGGAGGGGTGCTTACTCTGCAGCCTGTGAGCCTGCGATCAAATTGCTACCATTGTCTCCCATCCAGGTCTAATGACAACCCTGTTCCTGCTCCAGGGGAAGGTGCTCATTATCTCAGTGAGGCCAAGTCTCAAAGTCACTGCCCCTTCCACTCAGTCTTCCCCACCCATGCTGTGTCCTGAAGGAAAAAAACCACCATTTTCCCATTCTGTCTTTGTCACAGGCGTTGTCTCTCCTGTCTGGGCTGGAGACTCCTGATAGGAAAGAATGCCCAGTTTCCTTTTGGTACCAGCGTTCATGCTTTTCTTTGGGGGCCTTGCTCTGCTGCGGCAGGAACCAGCAAGCTTTTTTTGCAAAGCCAGCATCCTGGGTGGAATGTCTATTCTGGGTTTCCAGGTTTCTAGGAGTCCCCACTTTATGTGGCTTTTAAAGACAAGGCCTAAGGTCCAACATAGAGAAAGTAATTGTCCAGTATCATTCTAACAGACCAGCTCTGCCCGCAATGACTGCTTCGTGCACCCGGAACAGGCAAGGGAGTGACAGGGCAAATCAGTGCTCCTGGGATTCCCTTCCTGGCTCCCAGAGGCAAAGCCAGTAAGGCATGTAGGAAGGAAGGTTCTCACTCAGAGTGTGCACCCCTCCCAGGAAAGCGCCCAGGGTCAGGGAAGGACCAGATTTTGATTTGATTCCGGGACTCTGCTTTTTGTCCTCGTAGAGCCAGGGCATGAGCAGGCACTAACCTGTGGCACTGGTGCCAAATCCAGCTGTGGCGACCTGTCTTGGGACGAAAGTCGGCCCGGCCCAGATTGTAGATCTGAGAGGAGAAGCGCAAGAGGCGCCGGTGCCCATAGGGCCAGTCCATGTGGTCAGCAGACTGGGAGAGGCAGTTCTCTTCATGGGCACAGTACAGCTGGCTGAGTGGGCGGTCCTCCAGGTAGGCCGTCTCCTGCACCAGCTGGGCATTCATCACCAGGTCTGGGGCGCCTGGGGCCACAGAAGACACAGGGCCCGTTTGCTCTCGGGCAAGGGGGGCAGGCTTGCCCACAAACCGAGCTCTTCTGGGGGACCTGCCAGAAGAGCAGGGCTCTACCCAGAAGAGGAGGGTGGTGTAGGAGTCAGGAGTGTTGAGTTCTAGTCACCACTAGAACCTCTAGATAGGAACGAGCTATCGCCCTAACCTGGGGAGCAGCGACAAGTGTCCCTGTTAAGCATGACGGCTTTGGAGTCAGGCTGCCTGGGTTCAAGTCTTGCTTAGTTTCTGGCCACACCTTTAACTAGCTCTGTGACTTGCTTCACCTTCTCATCACTAAGCTGGGGATCGTAATAATGCCAGTAATGCCAATACCCGTATCGCGCTCAGGTCACTGTATGGCGAGCCTGTGGTTGATGTAAGCTAGTATTTCATTTGTAAAATGCTCCTCAGCTTACACGTGCCTGTGTGTACCCTGGCTCATGCAGCCCTCCTAAGCCCGCTCAGTTTCCTCAGCTCATCACACTCCCTGGGGCTCAGTTCCTTTAAGGTAGGGAGTGGAGGGGAGAGGACTGGCCCGGAGAGTCAGAAGAGATCATCTCTGAGCCTGCTCCTGAGCTCCACCATTCTGGTCCATTCTGCCGCAGTTCTCAGCCTGGGCCTCCCCCAGGGTTCCTGTTCTAACCCGACTGCTATGCTGGGTAAGCATGAGGCTGTCCTGTGAGCTCTCCTCTGAGGACATTTCCGGTGCTTTCCTGTGCATAGAAGCCCCATGCTGGAAATGCCGCTCAGTAGATCTCCTGTTCCCTTCCTGTCACAGGGCCTCTCACCCATCTCGGAAGCCACAGGTCTCCCCGGCCACATGCCAGTACAGAGATGTGGAGATCTTCAGCTGTTATCATGTGACATCCAGAGAGAAAAGTTGCCCATTCTCAAGGCCTGCTCTTGCAAAAGCAGGGTTACAGTTTAGATTTTTGGTAGCGGCATCACCTGAGTAAGAGCCTATGTGCTAAGGATGGTGAGATGGGACTACTGGTTTATTTCAGTGGGTGGGCATCGAGGGTGGCAGTGGGGCCTGGAATGCCTGGACCATCACCAATTGCTCTTGAGATCCCTGTGGTTATTCCTAGGCTATACCCACTGGCAAACCCTAGAGTTTCTGAGGGAAAGAAGATTTTCCAGAGAGACCGAGAAGGAGAGAGGGTAAAGGAAAAAAAGGAATGAGAAAAATCACAGAAGAGAAATAGGGATGGTCACTCAGGTGGCAGGTCACCTGTCTGTGCTCTGCCATTGCAAAATGTCAAAAGCATTAGGGGGAGAGCTGCCACTCCAGGCAGTAGGACAGGACAGGAGTACAAGGTTCTCAGGAGGGGGAGAAACTGGGGAACAGGCCCCCAACACGCTGTGAGCCTTGGTGCTGGGAAGGCCCACTGTGGTGCCACATCAGCCTGCGAGGACCTAATGTTCTTTTAAGGTTCTCATAATGACAGACAGGCAGCCCTAAAGCTCGCTGACAAAGATTAAGGATGTCTTGGCATGGAAGCTTGGCTGGGAAGAAGGTCAAGCGGCCACTTGGTTTGGTGCCAGCCTGCAGCCTTTGGACTGGATATAGTTATCTTGGCGTAGACCTGGTTGGCAGATGTCAAACAGATGCTGCTGCCCCAAGAATCTGGGTGTGTAGAGCAGACCGATGCCTCAAAACAATCCTGTCCTATAGCTTGCTGGGCAAATCCCACCACTCAGGAAGAGGACACAGGGCAGAACCTTGGGCCCCTCATGCTCCTCATGGTTACATACATGTACAATTGCTTTCAAACTCCTTACTACTGACATCACAAAGAAATACATTTTATGCTGCAGCCTCGTGCACAGGTACATAATTTCCAGAAGAAAGGACTGCCCTTACTAATAAATCTAACACGTTTTCTTGTTTTCCAATACTGGTTTTTTTTTTCCAACTACCTGTCATGACATGAAAATTAAAAACACTTTGGTGTATCCTCGAGTTTTCTCATATTCTCCTCTTTAGTCCCTGCAATAACTCTATGAGATGGGCAGGACAGGGTTGGATCCCCAGGTGAAGGGTGACTTGGCCACCCACAGCCGGTAAATGGCAGAGCCATTGCTCCGAGTCCAGCCTCCCTTCCATGCCCCACCCTTCCAGGCTTGGAGCTGGGACCAGCTCTCAGGCCCTCCCTGAAAATGGGATGTATGGGCTTGCCAAACTGGGGGGGCCCAGGCCGGTCTGTCCCACCTGCGCCGGGGGTGTTACTCACTGTCTGTGCAGGAAACTCCAGCTGAGAAGCGCCCCGCGCCATGGGAGCAGTGCACCGGCCCGTGCCTCTGACACTGCTGCAGGGCTAGCTCTGTGCCTGAGCAGCGCACACCACTCATCACCACTTCTCCGGCCCCCGGCGTCCCCTGCCAGTACCAGGTGTCCTGAGAAAACAACCAGCAGCACCCAGTCAAGGCTGAGGGATGCTTTGGAGTCATCTCTTCTGATGTTTGAACCCCATCCGGCCACCCCCACCAGGCTATGTCCAGCCTCACTTGAAAATCTCAGCGACAGGAGAGTCCCTGCTACTTTGCATCCCTCCAAAATCAGATGTTTCTTCCCCCCCTGGCCTTGCCCCCACCCTCAGCTGCTGAAGAGGAGGTCCTGCACTCTTGCTGCAGCCTCGGGTGGCCTGCCCTGTCTTTCCAGCTGTGTTTAGTAGAGCCCTGGGTGGTCGGCTGTGCTCAAGATTGGGCCCAGTTTTCTAAGTGAAGTGGGGCTGGCATTGCCCTGCTGGCCAATGCGGGTCCAGCAGAGGATGTTTTGCCATTCCAGTCACACCATGGCCTCATGATTCTTGTTCCTGGATCCTCCTTGAATTGATCCTCATTCCCCCTGGACAGCCACTAGTCTGGGCCACGCCAGCATCCTTTCTCAGCTGGGCTCCTGCGATATTATGTTTCCCATACTCACGTTCATCTCTACCCCAATAGCGAGCCAACCCGCACTAAAGAAATTTTGGAAAAATCTGCATTGCAGGCTTTGAACGGGTTGCCCACCTCTGTTGATTTACCCAACAGAGTCAAGCTTCCGTGGACCACAGGGCCTCTGCATGGGCTGCTTCTCCCCACCCCACCTCACCTGGTGAGCTTCTTTCTAGTTATCCTTCCTACAGAAAAAAGCATGTGCCTGTCGTGCGAATGTTTTATTAGCGACTTCCTTCCTCACATCACTGTTCCATGAGGCAGGAGCTATGTCTCGTTCACCACCCTGTCCCCAGCTTCCAGCATTACGTCGGCTCACAGTTTCACTCAATAACTCATCACTAAGCAAATGAACAAACGGATGAACGAATGAAGGGTTGGTACTTTTGGCACAAAAAATCTGGAAGCAAGGCAGGACTCACCTTGATTGCATGGTTGGCAAAGCCCAGGCCGAGCTGTCGGCAGGCCACCCTGGCTTCGGTGAGCCCCCAGTGGTCACTACAAACGGCCCCCCAGCGTCGGACTCCATTCACCTCCACCTGCACTTCCACCACACCTTCCTCAGGGCTACGCCCACCGGCCAAGCGCACCTGCAGTGGTCAGAGGTGTGTGAGGAGCACGGTGGCCCCCGAGGGGAGGGCTCAGGACCGCTGGCCGGGAGACGTGCCCAGGTCAGCGCGCTGTGCAGCCCTGGGCACAACTCTCCCCGTCCCGGGACTGGCCTTCCTCTGTTACTCGACGACATTTTGCTAGCTAGTCTCTGCTGTCCCTGCCCACTAGAGAAATCCTACTTGGGGTGCCTGCACCCGGGTCTCCTGCTCCGGTACTTGTACTCCTCTAGCCTGAAATTCTACCATTATCGATAACTTGCCAATTGCAAAGGGCTTTCATATCTATGGTCGCATTCAAAATAACCCTATGAGACAATTCACCCCAGTTGAAGGAAGAGAGAACCAAGCTCGGAGACATGGGTGACTTGCCCACTGTCCACATTATGCATGACATGTGAACTCCTACCATCCCATGCAGCCTTGCCACGGACACTCCCCAGCACTGATGGCCCTGTGGTCCTAGCCACCTTGTCTCTCAGCCCCACAGGGTCCAGAGAGGGTATAGTGGGAGAGTGCATCCACCCAAGAGTCCCCATCACCAGAACCCGGCTGTGAGGAGATGTGGGTCAGGCCAGGGGAGGCCTAGAAGAGAGGACATTCCAGACTGGCTCTGAGAACCTCTTCTCCACTGGCTTGATGTGGGGTCCTGGTGCTCTCTGAGGGCTTCCCCCCCCCCCCAGCCTGAGGCCATGCCCGAATCTGAGCTCACCTGATTCTGGAAGCCCATGTTAGGGACATTGCACCTTACGGCAGCATCATTCTCATGTTGACAACCATTCTGGGACCCTTCCAGGGAGGGGCAGTCGCTGAGGGTCCGCTCATATCCCCTGCAGCGCACCTCACTCAGGTGGATGGGCCCCAGGCCTAGCAGAGAGAGGGAGAGGTGCCCTGTAACACTCCACCTCTGTAACCTCACACCTCCACAGGCAGGAGTGATGTTACCTCCTGGGCCTTGGCATCAGGGCCACCTAGGGATGGAGAGTGGCACATCCGGGTCCCCACCCCCACCCCCCTGGGCCTCTTCACTTACCTTGGCCCAGCTGGGCCCCAAAGAGGGCCTCCCGAGCAGAGCCAAAACCCAGCTGACGACACACGATGGTGGCGGAGATGAGGTTCCATCCATGATCACAGACTGTACCCCACTGGCGGTTCATGAGCACCTCCACCCGGCCCTCACCCACCTGGGCCCCAGAACGGAGGCGTACCTTCAGCTCCTGCCGGGAGAAAACTGGCTTCAGGGTGGGCTGAGGAGGAGGCAGCAGGCACGGCCCAGCCGCTGGGGGAGCGTGGGCCGGGCCCCCTCTGGCTGGGCCAGCCAGTGCCGGTCGCACCTCTCGCGGCTCATAGCTAACACCTCGAATACTCCACTAGGCCGGTTTTCTCAAGTGTCCTTTCTTCATGACAAAGAACCACCACACCAGCCAGAGTGGTAACAAGGGAGCCCGAGGAGCTGGGGTTCTTGGGCTTCACCACCCTTGCCCTGGTCCCTAGGGGGGTCCCTTCCTCTCCTCCAGCCCTGGCTTCTTCCTGGCGCTCTGGGGCTGAACTAGATCAGTGCTTCCCCAAGGGATCCGGGAGACGATTTTAGAGCGGAGCAGCGCCCGGTGTGAATCGGGCTGACTCGCAGTGGGGAAGTGACTTCCGCGTTACTTCTTGTCCAGCCCTTCCTAGTTCCCGGGGGGCGCTACCCCGCCGTGGGGCTGCCGTGTCCGAAGCAGCTCGCCTGCACTAGCTTGATGCTTTTTATAACAAAGCGCCAGTCTCAGGTTCAGTTCCTTCGGCCTCAACCGGGTGTTAGCTACGATGTAATTACTGTTTTTACGGCTCCCTTCTATTCGTGGCCGGTGATGTCAGCTTTCCATTTATGGTCGGGTTATAAACGGTTCCTTTTAAATAAATTCCAAGTTTCTACCACGCTATGCTTTGTTCTCCTCCTCCCAGTCTACACCAATGCCTCCTCGATGGGGGTGATTCGTCCCCCACCTCTTGCCCGTCCTGGAGCGCCCCTCCCTGCCAGTCCCTCCCACCTGCTCCCGCTGACACTGGCCGGACCCACCTCTGCCCGGGACTCCTTGCGCCCCGGCTTTGCCTTCCCGGGGCGGAAGCGGGGCCCAGGCACACAGCTGGCCACGGCGTGCATGCCGCCTGGGCAGGCCGGCCGCTGCTTGCCCCGTGCTGGTGCCACCTGCACCTGGCAGTTGGCCAGGTGGGGCTCTGTGCCAAGGCAGTTGACTCGGTGGATCCAGAAGGAATTCTTCTGTGTCAGGCTCTTCAGCCTGGAAGACAAGGGACACTAAAGGTGGGGAGGGGTTGAGGGACCTCGGTGGTCAGGGAGGCAAGGGACATGCCCTCCCCTTTGTGCCGCCCCCCTCTGCACCCTCCTCTCTGGATGCTGCTCCTCACCTAGACTTGGGGTCCTTCATCTTCAAATTCCAGACCTTCCTAGGTGGGAGAAAACGGTGGGGATAGAGTGGGTGCTGAATCCTCCCTGTCCCCCGACTCCTCATAGCTGTCCCTGAGTTTGCAGTCCGGCTGTAAACTCAGTCACATCATTCTCATGCCGAGCCTCACAGCAGCCCTGGCAGGGTGGTCTCCTTGCAGACACCCATGGTCTCCATCTCACAGGGAGAACTGGGGGCTCTTCTGTGCCGGACTGTCTACCCCAGCTCACCCTCTCCCCATGCAAATGAAGGGGAGCCTTTAGGGAGTGCCCTGAGAAAAGGGACCCAGGGGAAAGTCCTCTGGGCACAGGTGAGAGCTGAAGGCCTTGCTGCTGGGGGCTGCCCACCCAGAGGCTATAATCAGGTCTGCCCTCCTCAGGGGCAGTGGGCGAGTCAGCCAGGCCCACAGGTGCAATTACCAGGCAGTGGGGAGTCAGGGGCCCACGTCCCAGTCATCCCCAGGGATGGAGCCACGTGGCTGGTCTTCAGGAACAGGCCCCTCCACATCAGAGCCACTAAACTGACTGGGGTGGGCAAGGGGAGACCACTCACACGTAGCATGGGGCCCTTCTCCCTTGATGAGAAACACACACAGTTTTCACTGGCACAGAGCTTGTACTGTTTAGAGGCTGATGCAATCTTGTGACAGTTGTCACATTTTTGATGGAGTATTTTTATGTCTCTCCCAAGTGCTGCCCCACCCCACGCCTTGCTCACACGCAAGGCAGTCGAAGCCTGGCTTGGATCAGAGTGGAGGAAATTCCCTGAGCACTGGCTGATGGAGGCCCGGGGGCCCCACTAGCCGCCCACAGCACATTATTGGCAGAGCTGAGACCAGAACTCAGGTCCTCTGTCCCTGGGGGGCACCACCAGAGGCATCTGCAGTCAAGTCCAGCTTTTTTTAATCAGGGACACGGTTTGTGTTCAGTTGTTCTCAGCTCTTTTCACGTGACTAGCAAGTACCTGTTTCTAGGTATTTCACAGGGTCTCCGAGTTCGTCCTCATTCTCCTCCTCATTATTCTGAGAGACCCACAACTCAGGCAGTCCCTTGGGTCTGTTTCCCCCCCAGTCCCAAACCCACCAAAAGTCCTGCCACAGACACCCCTGCCCATCTCACCACCCTGCCTCAACTCTGGAAGGACCCCTCCGTCACACGCATGCACCCTCACACATGTATTTCTCCAACACACAGGAACACACATGTATGCTCACGCATGCAGGCACACACTTGGCCACTGCCCCACAACCCCCCACCCCCGCCAATGCCCTCCACCCAAGCATCCCCTCTACCTGTAGTATAGGCTGTTGACAGGTGCCTCACTGGGGAAGCCCAGCATCCCACACACCACCTTGCTGTTGTTTCTGGTCCAGTCCTGGTCACACACCTGCCGCCAGTGGCCCTCATACTTCACCTCCACTGCTCCCTCCGTCACCAGGCTGTGCCGCTTGGCGCTGGCGAGTATGGGCTTGAGCCGCACCTCCTCCAGCCGCCGGCCCTGCAGGGTGCATGGTCACCGTGACCCCCAAGATTCCTGCACCCACTAGGCCTGCTGCACGCCTTCACATGGGAGAGCTGGGGCTCAGGAAACTTAGATTACCCCTGCCCCCCTGCAGGCCCTCACTGGATGGGCAGGAAGCAGAGGCCCAGAGACGAGGGCATTTACCAAAGCCACACAGCAAGCAGGAGGCAGAGCCCTGGTGTGTCTGTGTTCCTCTCCTCAACCACAGAGAGAAGCAGGCAGATCTGTGCCCTCCCTGGGATCAGGCTCAGGCCCTTTGGAGTTTGAGAGCCTTCCACTGGGCACAGAGGGACCTTCTTTATGCCACCCTGGGGAAAGCTGAGGCTGGGCACAGACCAACTGTTTGAGATGACCAGCAGGATCCTTGGCCCATGGGACCCTAGCTCTGCAGCGACTTGGACAATGAAGACCACCCCACCCTGGTCTGCTGCATTCGTGGGCCAGGGCTAGCTGTCCTCGGGCTGGGGCTGTCTAGCAGTGGAGAGTGAGAGCCAGAACCGGCCCTGCCTGCTCCTGTTGTTTGGCTTGGGCTGTTTTTAGCTCGAGGTTGTTTGTGCTGGGAAGAGGCAGCAATTGTGGCCGGGCCTTGTGGGTGAGGCAGCCCCTCACCCCACACTGCCTCCCTTATGGGAAGTGATCCCCTGCTACAAGTGGGGCCTCTGTCCATGCACCTGCTCCAGGCCACTGACAGGAGGCAGGGCCCTGGGGGATGTTTCTTAGCCTACTCTGTGCCCTTTCTTTTCTGTCTTCTTCAGGTTCATCACCCAGGAGCCTCTTGGTCCATGACTCAACCCTTGGCTCAGGCCAAGGCCTGAACAGCCTCCTTACCTGGGGCCCAAGGGCATTGGAAACCCTCTCAGAAAGATAGCCACGCTGGCGCTGGGGGTGGCACACCACCCCGATGTCTTCTGAGTGGCTGCAGTCACTGACACCCCAGCCATTGGACATGCATTGGTCCAGAGAGCTCTCCGTGCCCACACAGCGCACGTTGTCCAGCCAGATGGGCCCTGTGGGCAGAGGAAGGGTGATGCTGAGGGAAAGAGAGGCAAATCATGGGCTGTGCCTCCTCTATAAGACTCCACAGTTATCAACTGTCTTTTTCCAGAGCCCGAGTAGAAAGGAGGGGTGAGGGAGAGAAGCTGTTTCTCCCTGGATTTTGGTATCTATAACCCTACCTACCACCTCCTCTTGGCAGAAGGTCCTGTAGCATCTGTTTTTGGAAAATGCCAGATACTAGATCTACCTGTACATCCATCATTCACTCAACAACATTTGCTGAGCACCTATTCTGTGCCCGTCACTCTGTAAGAGCAGAGTGGGGTGGTGGAGGTGATGGTGGTGGCCTTGCTGCAAGCAAGAATGAGAGGGTCAGGGCAGGGGGTCACTTGTAGCTGGGGCACTCAGGAAATGCCTCATAAAGGTCATTTGAGCTGGGTATGAAAGGATGGGCGGGAGTCTGTGGAAGCTTCAGTGAGCCCAGCCTCTGAGAGAAACCCATGATCATCTCCTTGTCATCCCACTGGGTGGCACCAGGCACTCACCCTCCCCTTGGCCATACTTGGCACTGTGTGCCCAGGTCAAGGCTGTTTCAAAGCCCAGTTGGCGGCAGGCCACCATGGCCTCCTGGAGTGCGAAGTCATCATCACACACAGTCCCCCACTGGCCCTGGTACAACACCTCCAGGCGGCCCTCCTCTGGCCTGCTCTCTGGGCCCACCAGCCTCAGCTTCATGGTGCTCAGTGCCTGAAGCCTGCAAGGAGTGGCCTGGAGCAGCAGCAGGAGCAGCAGGAGCTGGGAGAGGGCTGCTGGTAGGGACCGCATCCTGGGGACTTCCAGCGCAGTTGGGGCCGAAGCACCTGGGGAATGAGGAAACATGACAATGATCACCACCTCACCCCCTGACCTCAGCCTCTTCTGCTGGCAGAGACAAAAGATGGCAGGGTCCCTCCAAGTGTGTGCATGCACAGGTGTAGGTGTGCGTGGTGGCATCGAATGAGTCTGGCCTCTGGGATTAGTCAGTTGGTTTAAACCTACCCTTCATTGTCCGTGTGACCTTGAGGAAGTTTAGGTTTGACCTTACTGAGTCTCAACTTCCTCATCTGTAAAATGGGGATAATAATCCTCATCTCAGTGGTATTAGTGTTAAATAAAACATGGTATATAAAGTGCTTAGCATCAGCCTACTGCACAGTTAGCACTCAATAAATAGCTAATCCTGATATAGTCCTATATCAAAAGGGGGAAAGGGGGTGGCCTACTCTCTGAGTCACAGGAGAGCCCCCCTAGTGCCCTCAGGTCCAGAACAGCTATCCCAGGGACATCGCTTTCGCCTTTTTTGCAATGTCCCCAGCACCCTGGCCACCCTCACCATAGAAGGCACATGGAATGCTGGAGTGGATAAAGCCATTTGAGGGGGGTCTAGGCCTCTACCATTCATTTGCTATGTGGCTCAGGCAAGTCTCTTCAACTCTCCAGGTCCTAATTCCTTATTTCTAAAGTGAGGAAACTGAACCAAAAATTCTGGATCCAGCTCAGATAGTCTATGATATCCTCAGGCTCTGGCTCCATCTAGGTGTGTGATTCATTGATCCAACATTTTTGGAATACATGCTTCAGGCCAATTATTAGGCCAGGTGCCAAGACACAGAAGTGAATACATCAAATGCTACTCCCTGCTCTCATGAAGCTCAGAGAAGGGGAAGAAAGGAGGGATTTTAGAGGAGGGACACTTAACCTAGGCCTCGCTGGGTGAGTAAGAGTTCTCTTGGGTGGGCAAAGAGGGATTCCAGGTAGACAGAATGGGATGGGTAAAGGAGGAGAGGGGGAAAGAGGTGAGTCTGTGCAAGAGCAGCAAATATCTTCTCTTTCCCCTAGACTGTAGTAGTGGAGGCACGGGCAGGGGCCAATCAAGGGCCTTGTGCACCATGCACAGGGTTTACTCTTTATCCTATAGGAGGTGAGGGGTCATCGGGGGCTTTAGGCAGTGACCATACATCAGACAGAGGGCTCCTGTCTCCAGGAGGCTGTGATCACATGCACCTTGGGTCCTCAGAGGGGATGAGGTTAAGCGTTGGTCTTTTCCCCCTCGTACATTTGCAGCCTTGGCTCTAGGAACAGGACGGGGGAGAGTGTCATGGCCAGTGAGGGAGAGGGCTCTCAGAGTGTCTGCAGCCACCAATGCTGAAGCTCCTCTGGCACCAGGCCCTGCACCAGGAGTCGAGGCCCGCCTGGAACATGGTGGAGAAAGTTGGGTCCCTGACTTCCTGCTCCATGCTTGAGTCTTAAGAGAGCTCATTCTGGGGAGACACCCTCTTCCATGGCCACAGCTGGCCCTGGGGGATTGCATAGCTGGTTAGTCTCCAGAGGGAGGGTCTCCCAGGGCCTCCTGCTATGCCCTTTCCCACGGACTGGTACTTGGCTGGGAGTCAGTCCTTACTCCTTCCTGCACACAGCCCCATTCCCTCCAGCCACCAATCCTCCCGCTTTGGTGAGCCCAGGGCTGGGTGGAGTGTGCTCCCAGAAGTACACTAGATGGGCTCAGGACGGGTGCTCCATGGGGACAGCGGCTCTGTGTCGTGTGTCGAATAGTGCCAGACAGGTACAGGGGTGCCCTGTAAATACTCAAGTTTGCATGGCTGCAAGGTGGCACTGCACATGCTTAAGGGTACAGACTGGGAGTCAGACTGCCTGGTCCACATCCCACTTCCAACAATGAGTTTCTGGGTAGCCTTGGGCAGGTGATTTCATAGCTCAGCGCCACTGTTGAGCCTCTGTGAAATGGGGATAATAAATAGCACCCACCCCATAGGATTCTTGTGGAGCTTAGATGAACGGACACGTGCTGAGCTCGAGAAGAGCAGCTCTCCACTGACAGTGAACCACTACTAACAGCAGCTGGAACAGCCACTCTTGGATAAAGAAGGAACGGAGGCTACATCCGAACTCAGCCACAAGTCCCCAGCACCCTTCTTTGTGACATCCTCCAGATTTGCCGCTTTTCCCTTTGAGCCAGGTTCTCCTCCTTCTCCTCCCTGGGGCCGAGTGCTGCCTCTCCCCATCCTCACCGCTAAGTCTTTTCCCATCGTGATCCCTCCTGCACTTCCTTTCCAGACTTAAACACTGTTTTCTTTATGTGACTCTCCGCTCTGGAGCCTGTGGGGGCTCCTGCCTGGCTGTCACTGTGAGCAGTGTGTTCTCTGCTGTCCGGATGTGCCATTCCCTCCTCTGTGCCCCCTGAAGGATGAGCTGGACAGCTGGGGACTGAGCCAAATCGAAGTCACTAATGGTAGGGACCTTCCCCAGATGACAAGAGAGGATAGGAAGGACTGGGTTCAGGGCCCTCCAGCTGTTAGGACCCAGTGGTCACATTGAGTCAGCCCTGAGAGATGACCCTGTGCCCCCGCCCTTGCCCCTGTCAGTCAGGATGCTCTTCGCTCTGCCACCAAATTGTTATGTGACTTGAATCAGGGGCTTTCCTCTCTCTGAGACTCAGGTGCAACACCTATAAAATGAGGGGGTGGCCCTAGGGGTCCAGCTATCTATGACATGCTGTGATGGGCTGTAGGGTGGCCTGGGCAGGTCTGCCGTATGGCCCGTGGCTGATGTCCCATAGGACCACAGAGCTCTCATTAGAGGCTGTGCATAGTCCTGGGCCTGCCTGGAGGCTGGGGTGGGCTTCCGCTGCAGGACCCTGGGACCTGGCTGAGGACAGCTCCTGGCTGTGAGAGCTGCCCAGGGAGTGGATGGGCGGCAGCAGAAGTGGAGAGTCGATGTGGGGAGGGCCCCTCTTCCCAGCCTGCCTGCCACTAAAGGGCCCTCTGTAGCTTCTGCTCACCCCACACTTGCCTTCCCACCATTCCCCAAATGTATCTGTCCATTCTCTCCTTCCACATCCCAAGCCTCTGCTCTCACTCCTCCTTCTACCTGGAGTACCCTTTCCCTCTGTCCCAGGTTGGTAAATTCCTACAGGTCTTCCAACACCGAGCTTAGATCTACCCCGCCACCAAGTCCTCCGGGGGTCCCACCTCCGTAGCACTTGGTGTTTGCTCGCTGTCTCCACATCCAGCCTCCACAGCGTCTCCCCGGAACTGTTCCACCAGTGCCCAGCATGGGCAAGCCCACTGCCTGAGAAGCCTTCCTTAGAGAAGGAAGCAGCCTCAAAAGTGGCAGTTCTCTTTCCAAGTGAAGGAGAAGGGGACAGGGTATGGGAAGGAAGGTGGGGGGAGGGGTTTTTAATAATAATACTTATTATAATACATTTAAAACTACTTACAGAGCACTTATCTCCACTTTATAGGTGAGAAGCTGAGGCCCAGAGGAGCTAAATAACCGGCCCAGCCAGGATTCAAAGCCAGGTAGCCCTGCTCTAGAAGCCAGGCTCTGAGCCATGGGACAGATGAACGCTGGAGGAGGAGGGGAAGGAGGAAGGGAGAGGCAGGGGGATGAATGAAATTCCACCCTGTTGCTGGCTGATGGATGACCCAGCCATGGTGTGAGGGCACTGGGGCTGGTGCCAGCACTGAGTGCAACCAAGTGACAGATCCAGGACCCTGCCAGCTTGATGCAGAGAGTCACCTGTTCAGGTGCTACCAGGGGACTCTGGCACCTGACCTGACCTGCCGGCCCCCCCTTGGGAGGGCTGGAAATGCCCGGGGGGTATTCAGGAGAGAGCATGGGGGTGGGGGGTACTGCCCTCGTGGGCACCAGCCCCGGCATCAGCCCCTTCTTTCTAGCTCTTTGGGTGATGGGGTCCCTCCCTGGAACCACTAATTATGGTGACCTGAAATGGTGCCAGCAAGTGGCTCTGAGCCCTACCTGGCCGGGCACAGGACCTGTCCAGGTCGAAGCCCTCTGCCCACCCCTGGTCCTCTGCCACCCCCCCCACCCCCCAGCATAATCAGCTCCGGTTTTTTTAGTTGGAGAGCCTGGCTCCACCCTGCCTCTTGGCCCCTCAAGTCCCAAGAGTGACATCTGAACCCACCTTGCCCTTTCCCTTGCCTCCTGCCTGGGTGGGAGGGCAGAGAAAAGGTCACACGCAGCGTGTTCACAAACAAGACACGCAGGCACCCCAGGCCGGGGCCGGCCACCCCGGGCGGGCCTTGGGCCGAGCTCCCTAATTTGGTCACTTCCACTGGAAGCAGGTTGGTGAGCGACCCGGAGGCCGGAGGCGAGGCCAGCTGTCCGGGGACCCCAGCGCCCCAGCCCCCCGCCTTCAGGGCCCTTGGGGAGAGACAGCAGCGAGGCAGACAGGACAGCGAGAGGAGACGCGGGCCGGCCGGCGGGGGCTCACCAGCGGGAGCTCGGACGGGCGGCGGCGGCGGCGGTGGCGCAGGGCCGGGCGCCTGGGCGAGCAGCGCGGGCGGGCCTCCCGGGGCGCCCTGGGGCCCTTTTATCCCGCGGCGGCCCGCGGGCGCCCCCCACCCCGCCGCCCGCGGAGGAGGCCCCGCAGGCCCCGCCCCCGGGCGGACCCGGTCGAGGCGGGCGCCCGGCCGCGCTCGGCCCCCTCGGCCCTGCGCCCCCCGCCGGCCGGTGCCCGTCCCCGCCGCCCGCCCCCCGCGCGTGGGCCCTGGGGCCGCGGGGGGCAGCCGTTTGCCAGGGGAACCGGGCGCGCTGGGCGGGGGGGGCTGGGGCAGGATCGGGGTCCCGCGGGGGGCCGGCGGCGGGGCGCCTGCGGGCTGCGTCTGCCTGCGGTGCCCGCGGCCTCGGGGGTCCCCGTCCCACGCGCAGCGTCGGTCTCCGCGAAGCCGAAGCCGGGGCCCAGGCCCACCCTCGCCCCCGGGGTCCTCCCATTCAGTGAGTCCCGGGAGGTGTCAGTGCGCAGCGCACGGTATCCACCCCCCCGCCCCGGAGCGGGAGCGCCTCACTGTCACGGGGCCATCAGGCTCCCTTGGGGGCGGGGGCGGCCAGAGGGCCGTGGGGGGCTCGCTTCAAACCGGTCGAGGTCGGGATGGGGGTGCAGGTGCGCTGTTTGCGGTAACAGGCGGCCCTCGCCATTGCCCTGGTCCCTGGAAATGTGTTGAGCACTTGGTGGGCGCGAGATCTCTGGTCTGCCCATTGCACAGTTGGGAACATTGAGCCCCAAGAGACGCGACTTGCTCTCCTCCCCGCCCCTCCCCAGTAATAAACCGTAAATGGATGAACTTAAATCCTTCTCTACAACTCCTTACGGAGTTGAATGAGGCAGTCCTGGCCCTTGACAGGCCCATGGGGGGAGGGTATGCGTAGAGGGTGGGGTGGGGGTGGGGGACTGTGTAATAAAACAAAAGTAGAAAATCTTGAAAGAGGGGAGGCCATCAGCACAGCTGAACTCCTAGGCACCCGAATCCCAGCCCCATTCTACCAAATTCTTCCCCATAGTCCTGGTTCTTCCTAGGGCCTCGGTGTCCCCATCTGTAAAATGGATAGAGTTCTAGCCTTCCAGCTTCCTCCCTAGGTCCAGATCAGTACAGCCTGGTTCCTCCTCTTTCCCCAGCCTTGCCTGAATGTCCTTCCAAAGGCTCATTCATTCAGCAAATCTTTATTGATTTTCTCCTTGCTAGACAGGGTGCTGGAGTGCTAGACGCTCTGGGGGCGGGAGGGGGGTTTCCCAGTCTGGTGGCCGAGGCAGATGTGTAAGCAAACACTAGCACAAGGCACAAGGCAGAAGGTGATAAGGGCTAGCTAGGATGGCAAGGTGGACCTTTCTGACCCTTGGGTGATAGCCAGGTCACACTGACCCGGCTGTGGGAGGACTACTGTCCACCCCTGGCCGCTCATGTCCCAGATGTCCCCCCAGTGCCCCCGCCCCGCCCCATCAGGGCCCAAAGCATTCCCTGCATGAATCAACAGGAAAGAATGCTCCCAGCCTTGGGTCAGTGGCAGCGGCAGCAGCCTGGCCCCACCCCTGGGGACAATGAGGCAGCTGTGGGCTAGGGTGCCAGGTATGCCTCAGCCCCCTCCCCATTCCCAGCCACTTCTTATGCTGAGCCAGGAACAACACGGAGGGCCCGGAAAACCTGGGCTCCACCTGCTGCCAATCACCCACCCAGAACTAAAAATACCCTGGAGGCTAGCGGCTGGCCGGGCTAGAGCCCAGGGAATGAATGGATGTGTTGCCCGGAAGTCCATTGACCTACAAGACTCTGGGCAGAGGCTGAGGCCAGGGAGCAGTGGAAGGAGGAATCTCCCGGGGGCAGAGGTGGGGGGTCACTGTAAGGCTCTTTCTCAGAAGTGATGCTAGCTCAAGGACCCACACGAAGCAGGCCCATTTATTCAATCTGCTGGCATATACTGAGCACTTGCCATACACCAAGCCCTGTGATAGCATCTGTGTTTAGAGTAAATAGAAGTTCTAGGGACCCCTAGAGTTGAGGAGGACACTGACCTGTACATATCGAGAGGTCTTTGGCTCTGGCTGTGGCTGTGAGCACAGGCACGAAGGAGGTAGCAGGCCGTCTCCATCAAGTCAGAGCTTATTGAGATGAACTGAACTGTCCCATTTGACCCCCACAGCAATCAAATTTAAGGGTGAGGAGATGGCCACTCAGCGGAGCAGCGGAGAAAATCCCACCACTAGTAAGACATAGGGCTGGGCTTCACACAAGGGGGGACACAAACAAGCCAGATGTGATCCCTGTCCTCAAGGAGCCTGCAGGGTGGTGGGGGAGACAGACTCACAATCAGCCAACACACAAGGCATTCATTCTCATCATCATCATCATAACAGCCAGCAGGTGTGGAGCAGTTGCTCTCTGTATCATCTCATGTAATCCTCTTAAAATCCCCATGGACAACACTGTCATCACTCTCCTTTACAGATGATGAAACTGGGGCACAGAGAGGTTAAGTGATTTGGTCAGAACCACACAGCCATTATCTGCAGAGAGTAGCAAGTGGTGAACTGAAGCATAGTTTGCTCTGTGCTCTGCGCTCCCCGTTACAGAGCAGGGTCGGGGAGGTTGGGGGTGCAGGTAGAGTCTGAAGATTGAAGGCTTCAAGAAAGAAGTGCCTTCAAGGATGGCTTGACCTGCTAGCTGTTATAATGATGACAATGCCTCATCTGTTGGCTGATTGTGGGTCTGTCTCTCCCACTACTCTGCAAATTCACTAAGTAGAGAGATGGGAAAGTGGGGTGGTCTTGTATAGTGCTTTGGAAGCCCTGGAGTGCTGGGCAGGTGTCGAGTTGTCCCATCTCTTTCCTCCAGTCCCCCAGGACCAGGGCATATGTATTACCATCTTGCCCGCCCCTCCCATGGTGAGGAGCCGAGTGGTTGAAAAGTAGCTAAGACGAGTCTCTTTCCCATGGGGAAACCCACCTAAACCAGGGCCTGTGCTTTCCTTCCAAATGGAAAGGCCAAGCTCTCCTGCAAAAAGCTGTGTCCCGGGATGTTGGTAGGGAGTAGGACAGGGACCTGGCTAGAGTACACGGTTCCAGGGCTGCTGGGCAAGCGTTCCTCTTCGATGGCCTTCAGGGCTCAGTCCAGACCCACCTCTTTTGAGACTCATTAGGGAGGATCAACTCATTAGGAATTGGGGGATCTGACTTCTTGTTCTGACTGTCTGAACTGTGTGGCCAGGCAAGTCCTTTGGCCTAGCCCAGGGTAGGTACAGCCCCCTGCATCTTCTTGTCCTGCCTTTGTACGCCTGCCCTTTGACATCCAAGGGCCAAACTGCTCTCCTCTCTTCCTACATCCTGCCTGTTGCTGACTTCAGTGAGCAGATTGACTTGTCATGCCTTAGCTCTAGAATCCTCAGTGGCTCACTGTTGCCTGTAGGATATGGAGAATCCACTGCTGTTCCTCCTGTTCCCTGTCCTTCTTTCCACTTCTGACTTCATTTCTTCTATTCTATCTGTCCTTGAGGCCTCAGTCTGATCCCAGCTCCTCTACTAATTTGCCTATGAAAGCTTACATGAATGCTCTCAAAGTATCAGGTCCCAGAGGAGTCACAGAGCTAAAGCAGACATGATCGATCGCTGCCCTCGGTTATGCACCAGCCTGATGGGAGCTGACTCACAGATGTGGCGGTGATGGGACAGTTGACTGGGATGACAGGTGGCAGGACTTAGGGAGGGGAACTGACTGGTCCCACGCAGGACAGGCTTTTCCTTTGCTGAGAGCTGTTTAACCAGCGTACAAGGCTTTTGTTCCAATGGGAAGGGTGGGAGCAGAGGGGATTTTGAGAAGTCTTGGGGTGGGGAGGTGAGGAGGTGGATCTAGCAGGAATGGACCGCCAGGGAGAGGCTGGCTTGGGAGATGGTTCCTGGGGAGAGAGAGAAATGAGCTGGCTACAGTAAGGAGAGGACATTTTTGGGGAAGACAGAGCTGTTAAAGAGAAATTTTAGGAAGTTTTGTTTTGCAATATGCGATGTCAACTTCCCCCCTATTCTTCTGAAAGCTTCAGAAAAATTGCCCTCAAAGCGTTTGGAGTTGGACAGGCTCACCTCAACCTTGGCAGGGCCTGGCATGCGTCAGAGGGCCTCATGTCATACATCTAAGAGTTAAAAATCAAACCTAAGGGATCCCTGGGTGGCGCAGTGGTTTGGCGCCTGCCTTTGGCCCAGGGCGCGATCCTGGAGACCCAGGATCGAATCCCACATCGGGCTCCCGGTGCATGGAGCCTGCTTCTCCCTCTGCCTGTGTCTCTGCCTCTCTCTCTCTCTCTCTCTCTCTCTCTCTCTCTCTGTGACTATCATAAATAAATTTAAAAAAAAATCAAACCTAAGTCATTGTTAAATAAAACATGGTCTATCTTCCTGCCTTGACAAGTAACACCTTTGGAAAGACCTAGAAGACCAGATTTGAATCCAGAACTTTCTACTCCTTAGAGTTCTGTATGAAACATGTTATTATGGGAGGTATCTACCTCTGACCCTGAGCCCAATGTGACCCATCCCCTTCCTCTCCCACCTTCTGCTCCATTCCACACAGCGAGGGACCTTCTGCTGTGACAGGAACACGTGCACAGGAGGCTCTGTCCAGATCCCCCCAGCAGCTGCCCTTTGGCCGCCCTGGGCCTGGGTGCACAGTCTGGAGGTGCAGTCTGCATTCGGGAGGAAGGGCTGGAAGCAGGCTTGGCTTCTTGGGCAAGGCACTCCTTGAGCTTCTTTTGGAGGTGGGATGGGGCT